CTCTGCAGATTAGAATGTCAACCAAAAAATGAAGCAAGGCTGCATTACTTGCGCTCATAAAATTTCCTTTAAAGCGCACTGCTGTGATTCTGTTTAAGAGAAAAACAGTAGCTTGCCATCAGAAAGGGGATGTGTAACTTCCACAGCTGGAAATCAGTGCTTTCAGTAGAGACAAGAATGCACCTGCCAGTCAGACAGCTCTCTGTCTTGTTCAGCATTTTACCCCTGACAGTAGCTGTGAACAGGTTCAGAGGAGTAAATTTTGCAGTGGTCAGACAGGATTGTCTGTCATTAGAAAAATTATCTCTCTAATAGCTAATGGTAAGAGCTTAGTTTATACTGTGTCAATTCCCCAGGTTTTATGTAGTTTTTGTTGATTTATTTTTTCCAGGAGTAACAGAAAAATCAACAAATACCATTAATTGCTCCCAATAAATTTCTCCTGTAATTTTCAAAATCTTTACATAAACCTACTATTAGTTCAGAATTTCTACAATGTTTAGGTTATGCTTGGGGACAAAATCAAGATTTTTGGTTATTTACTTTTAATCAAAGATTATAAACCCAGCAGGTGACTAAGCATTTTTAATTTGCTGTGCTAGCAAATAGAAGATTTGCTGTGCTTGCTGGTAGAAGATAATACACATTAATGCACCCTTAATGCTGCTATGAATAGCCTACATGAAGTTCATGTGAGTTATATCCCTTAGAGTAAAGTATTATTGTAAATGCAGCAGTTATGCTGTTTTCGTTGTATTTATGGAAATGGAAATGTTGTTATTCAATTCATCTAAATAGAAATAAACAGTAAGTCACTTATTTTCTTAAAGTGCAGTTAAAGTCGAGCCTTTTATTAGCAAGTCTTCAGCCTCAAAAATATTTTAAGGATTTCTTTTCAGACAAAAATTACTTGATGACTGCCATTTTGTTGGATGCTTTTCTCTCACATAAAGCAGATCACTGCCTTGAAATACTCATTGCTAAGCACCACACTGTGTGTGTTTTGGCTATTTTGTGGTTTGGATGCATACTGCATCCCTGCTTAAGTATCCCATTCTAATGTTTTCCTTACTATTATGGTTACACATCTCTCTACTGTCACATAAGCCCTGTGTCCCTTTTGTTCTTTCCCAGGCTCAACTCCTTTCTCAGTTACTGTGCTCTTCTTCGGGTCCCCTTATATATTTACTTTGCCCTGAATGATTTGTCCCCTTCCTCTGCTCACCTCCTTTTCTTTCCTAACTGCCTCTGGGTATGTATCCTTTTTTTGCTGTATTGATAATTTGGAGAAGCAGATTTTTAATAGTGGCATTGACAACTTACTTACCTGCGATGTGTTACGTTGGCTGGAGTTTTTCTCAGAATATTATGAATCTTGTTAGTACGTCCTAAAAGATAGATTCAAAAAAAGCAAATTATTAAAATCAGTTTTCAGGTAAATGGGGTATGAAAAAATGTGGAAGCTAGACTTAAGAGGAAGTTAGACAGATGCTTGGAGCGGTGAATGCAATGTTGTACTGAATTGCATCCCCACCTATCTTGTTCCTGCAGTTGCAATCTACTGGTGCATCATCACTTTCCAATGCTCCTTTTTAAGGCGTACTCCCAACTCTAAAATATGGTGAAGCAGAAGTTTTAGCTGATGCAGGAACAGGAGACAAAGAGAAAGGGAAGGGCACAGCAGGGGCCAATATCTGGGCTTCTTTTTGTTTTTTTAAAGAAGCTTTATGCCATCATTTTCACCAAAATAAGTATGAATTTGACTGTTGATGTTCAACATATTGCCAAAAAATACTCTTTTGCTAACTGTGGTGCCTATAAACCATTGTATTAAGCACTTAATCTCTATGCTTTATTTTGGTCAAAATGTTAGAGATATTTCAGTTCAACCTCATCTACCTTTTACAGAATCACAGGTTTCCATGGAAAGGATCTTAGTGATTATGTAGTTCCAACCCCAATGCCATAGTCTGGCACACCATTCACCTGATCAGGTTACTCAGATCCCAGACTGGCATTGAACACTTCCAGGGTTGAGGCACCAACAACTTCTCTGGACAGCCTAATTCAGTGCCTCACAACCCCCACAGTAAGGAATTTTTTCCTAATATCTAATGTAAACCTACCCTCCTTCAGCTTAAAGCCATCCCTCCTTCTTCTGTCACTACATGCTCCTATGGAAAGTCCCTCTCCAGCTTTCATGTGGGCCCGTTCAGGTACTGGAAGGTCACAATTAGGTCTCCCCAAAGCCTTCTCTTCTCCAGGCCAAACAGTCCCAACAACTCTCTCACTCTCTCAACCTGTATTCGTAGGAGAGGTGCTCTAGACCACTTTTTTTTTTTTTGGCACAATATTAAAACGTAAGAGAAATATCCACAAAATTTTAAATTACTAAGGAGGTGTAAATAGTAAGATTAGTTAATTAGATTTTTGTTTCCAAATTAGAATTCAGAATTAGGACTTGCTTTCCGGGATAAAAATAGTTCCTCTTGAACTTCAGAAAATGAAAGAACAATGTCATATGCAAAATTCAGTGAGAATCTATTTTTTAATTGATAAAGCTTATTAAATAGTCAGGAATCTTCTTGGGACTCTTGATTACTTCTGCTTTTTCCTCACCACAGTAAATTTGTGTGATTGTGTATTAGTTGTGCTCAGTAACTTGGAAGCCTTACATTTGCAGAGTTTTCGTGGTCACAAGTTTGGCTCTTTGGTAGAGACAAAAAACTGCAGTTTTTTAATAATAATAAAGTTAATAAACAGAGTTGGCAAATAGATGATGTTAAACCAAGAAATTCTTTCTTTTTCTTCACCTTTCCCCTTTCTCCCCAGTATTTCTGTGAATTAAAATACACTGTGTTTCTGTAGTAGAGCTTTTTCCCTTCTGCTATGCATGCTTGATCTACTTCTATGGAAGTCCCTTATAGAATTGCCTTACAAGTTTTGGTAACTTCAAGCAATGAGTTATTTAATAAGTGAAGCCTCTTTTTATTTATCAACCATTGTTGACATCCACTGAAAATTAATTCTAAGCGCACATAAAGACTGTGCTACTTGCATGAAGGCTATTCCTTGCTCCCTCACAGGAATAAGTACCTTCTCTGTTGTTCTGCAAATTTTCAGGATGGGTCTTGATTTTGGAATCTCTTATATATTCATATTTTCTTAAGTATAGTCTGAATTTCTATTTAAAAAAACCGAAGTAATATCAATTAAAGCTTAAGCGTACTAACAAAATTGCAGCTCAATTTTTTTATTTTTTTTCTTTAATATGTTGTCTCTCTCCTTTCAGAATCCCTGTACCCACACATCTATCAACAGCATTCCCCGTGGTTTCNAAAGGGAAGGGCACAGCAGGGGCCAATATCTGGGCTTCTTTTTGTTTTTTTAAAGAAGCTTTATGCCATCATTTTCACCAAAAGAAGTATGAATTTGACTGTTGATGTTCAACATATTGCCAAAAAATACTCTTTTGCTAACTGTGGTGCCTATAAACCATTGTATTAAGCACTTAATATCTATGCTTTATTTTGGTCAAAATGTTAGCGGTATTTCAGTTCAACATCATCTACCTTTTACAGAATCACAGGTTTCCATGGAAAGGATCTTAGTGATTATGTAGTTCCAACCCCAATGCCATAGTCTGGCACACCATTCACCTGATCAGGTTACTCAGATCCCAGACTGGCATTGAACACTTCCAGGGTTGAGGCACCAACAACTTCTCTGGACAGCCTAATTCAGTGCCTCACAACCCCCACAGTAAGGAATTTTTTCCTAATATCTAATGTAAACCTACCCTCCTTCAGCTTAAAGCCATCCCTCCTTCTTCTGTCACTACATGCTCCTATGGAAAGTCCCTCTCCAGCTTTCATGTGGGCCCTTTCAGGTACTGGAAGGTCACAATTAGGTCTCCCCAAAGCCTTCTCTTCTCCAGGCCAAACAGTCCCAACAACTCTCTCACTCTCTCAACCTGTATTCGTAGGAGAGGTGCTCTAGACCACTTTTTTTTTTTTGGCACAATATTAAAACATAAGAGAAATATTCACAAAATTTTAAATTACTAAGGAGGTGTAAATAGTAAGATTAGTTAATTAGATTTTGGTTTCCAAATTAGAATTCAGAATTAGGACTTGCTTTCTGGGATAAAAATAGTACCTCTTGAACTTCAGAAAATGAAAGAAGAATGTCATATGCAAAATTCAGTGAGAATCTATTTTTTAATTGATAAAGCTTATTAAATAGTCAGGAATCTTCTTGGGACTCTTGATTACTTCTGCTTTTTCCTCACCACAGTAAATTTGTGTGATTGTGTATTAGTTGTGCTCAGTAACTTGGAAGCCTTACATTTGCAGAGTTTTCGTGGTCACAAGTTTGGCTCTTTGGTAGAGACAAAAAACTGTAATAAACAGAGCTGGCAAACAGATTATGTTAAACCAAGAAATTCTTTCTTTTTCTTCACCTTTCCCCTTTCTCTCCAGTATTTCTGTGAATTAAAATACACTGTGTTTCTGTAGTAGAGCTTTTTCCCTTCTGCTATGCATGCTTGATATTAAAATACACTGTGTTTCTGTAGTAGAGCTTTTTCCCTTCTGCTATGCATGCTTGATCTACTTCTATGGAAGTCCCTTATAGAATTGCCTTACAAGTTTTGGTAACTTCAAGCAATGAGTTATTTAATAAGTGAAGCCTCTGTTTATTTATCAACCATTGTTGACATCCACTGAAAAATTAATTCTAAGAGCACATAAAGACTGTGCTACTTGCATGAAGGCTATTCCTTGCTCCCTCACAGGAATAAGTACCTTCTCTGTTGTTCTGCAAATTTTCAGGATGGGTCTTGATTTTGGAATCTCTTATATATTCATATTTTCTTAAGTATAGTCTGAATTTCTATTTAAAAAAACAAAGTAATATCAATTAAAGCTTAAGCGTAGTAACAAAATTGCAGCTCAATTTTTTTATTTTTTTTCTTTAATATGTTGTCTCTCTCCTTTCAGAATCCCTGTACCCACACATCTATCAACAGCATTCCCCGTGGTTTCTTCTGATGTGCCTCGCTTGCCTGACCCTGGTGTGCCCTCTCAGATTTCCCCTGCACCACCACCTGTGTGCCAGGAAGGACTGTGCCATAATGGAGGCACCTGTCATCCTCTCTCTCTGCCTAGCGGGGCCACCTCGTTCCAGTGTGACTGCCCACTACACTTCACCGGTCGATTCTGTGAAAAAGGTAATAGTGATCATTTTGATCTTTATTAGTTATGAAAAAAAAGTCTTATTCTGCTTTGGAGATGAAAAGGGGGAAGAGGTATTGATTGTCATATTTCTCTGCTCTTCATCCCAGTTACTTTTGGTTAACTGAGGAGCAAATTCATTGAGGTAATTTGGATAATACTTATTTGCAGTGTAAATTAGGTGATATTGGTCAGGCACACTCCTAAGAGCTGCAATTTGAGTTAATAAAAAAAAAACACTGCACTGTTGTGCACAGTTTTAATGTATGTTTTTCAGTGTATTATTTCTGGGACAGAAGAAAGTTGACTTTCTCAAAAGATTATGCTTTCCATTTCTACAGATTGGATTTTTTCCATCACTGTGTCAGATCCTTTGTTGAAAAAGGCTTTTTCTTTACTCAGTAACTCATTTATACTTCTGCTACTGTAGCTCATAAAGCACACATCAATCACATGAACATATTTTAATTAGAATTTGAATAAAAAATAATTCTTTTAGTAATTTTGGTTTCTTTGTAAAATGAATTAAGGCTATAAGGCAAACTGATCAATATTTCTGTTTTGTAAATGTAATTGCTTTTCATTATTGATTTTACTTTTTTAAAGTAAATTTCTTAGCTGACTTCAAAAACTCTTTTAGCCTTTAAGGTACTGTGGGTTATGAATTTCAGTAGATAAGTCTCATAGCACTAAAAGGCATCACTGGTGCACAGGAAAAGAACCAAAAAAATGTCTAGAATATGTTTATGTAACTGTATCAACCTCCTAATGAACTTCCCATGGTATGAAATAAAAGCAACTAGAGTTAAGAATGCCCTTGCCAGACTGCCAGTGTATCTGAGCTAGCATCACCTTGTATTACTGTCTAAAAATAGGTCATTGCACTCACTGTATGTGAAAGCTGTCAGCTCAAAAAGAAAAAAAATCATGTGGTGCTAAGATATCAGAGAATATTTTACCATGTAGCCTTTTCAAGTTTATAATAAATCATATCTTTGTAAATTTTCAGTGTCAAAATTAAATCCCATTGTATTTTCTAAATATTTAGTATCTGGGGCATACTCTTTGCACTTGCTTACAATACACTGCAGCTGTGGAAACTACAACACGAAATAGTGAAATTAAAAGAGTGTTTCCATAAAACATAAAATATTTGGTTAGTTCTTCAATGAAGTATTTGCAACATTTCAGAAAGTTTCTTATTTATTTACATGCATTTTATGTGCCAGAATTTCCTTCTGTGTTCCAAAGAATGCATCCTTTTTATCAGCATCATCTGTGGCATTTTGGATGAGAGCAGGTTCTGGCTTTTTGCAAGGGCTGTGCCAGGAGTAAGCAATGTTCAGTTTAAGCTGGAGTTTGACATACATCCTGTGGTAATAGGCCATATCAGTATGTGTGCATAACCACTCTGTGGGACCTACTGGTTCATTCCACCAGTGTCTGATTGCTGCCTTCTTCTGACCTTCCAGCTGATCTGTCGGTCTCCAGGGGCCTACTACGGTTTGGTGTTTTTAATGGTAACTGACATAATCTGTGTTTGAAGAATATTATCTGAGATGAGTACTTCCATGTGCCACAGACTTTGGGCAAAGTACCTTCTGTGCCATTGACTGAAAAAGCTATTTTTATGTTGGTCATTCAAAAATGCAGCATTCTAAGCCATTTTCTCCTTTGAAGCTTAACCAATGCAGGCCAGAAGAGTTTGTACATTGGAAAGAGTTGCATGCCAACTACACTTCCAAGGAAATTTTTCTTCCACGGAATTTTATCTTAGTCACATAAATGAAGGCGATCCCTTCTCTCTTTCTGTGATCCTGTTTCAAAAATCATGTGTGAAAATATGACTGAATCATGACCACCCCAAGAGCAAATTAAATGCAGGGGATGCACACTAAGTTGCAGTTGTAACCAAATCTCTTCTGATGGTTAAGAGCGACTCTACATAAGGTACACCAGTAACCATTCCATTCAATAAAACAGAATAGAATCTTTAAATAAACCCTGAAACTAGCAGCTCCTTTGGAGAACATAACCTGAGCTGTATATTTGTACCACCTTTTTGGTAGTCAAACACCCAGTTTCCACGAGGTACAGAGCTCTGTTTTTACCCTCTGAAACCCCCTGTTCAATACAGGGAACAGCCTCTTCCTTTTTGTTAGTGCTCCAGGGTCATCCAGGGCTGCTGTATCTGACATGTTCATCAGCTGGGAGCTCACTGGGGCAGCCACATCCCAGAGCTCATGCTGTCACACTGCATCTTTATATAGATCAGAATGTGACTTGATGGATCCTGTATTTAGTAACTGAAAACTGCAGCACGGAGTGATTTTATTTAATCTTAAATTTGCAATGAGATTGATAATTTAGTCTAATGAAACCAGAATTTGTCCAACTGAACTGTGATTATAAGCCTTTGAAATTCAGAGATCTGTTCTATCAAGATATCTAGAGCGAGCTCATAATTACAGGAGATAAGAGCACCTGCAATAATTTTATAATTATTTACCATAGACCTCCCAATGGAGACAATAAAATATCATGTATACAATATAGACACTATATTACAGTCAAGGAAATTTTCTCTTGACTGGTTAAAGATAGCTGTGATCTGTCTTAAACATGCTATTATGTATACCTCTACAATTCTGTAATATATTTTCATTAATCATCTTTGTGATCTGCCTTGTACCTACCATCAACTAAATTTCAGCAAGAAACTCATCATACACTTACCTGGCATATTAACAGTCCATATGGGTGTCACATACTAAGCCTCTGTGGATATCTTGGCTTCACTGGAATTGTCTCAGCATCAGACTTTCCTGTCCAGCCAGCTCTGGGCACTGCAACAAGAGTGGGCTGCTCCAGAAAGCAAGGCAATCTGGAGTGCAGCTTACTCAGGAAACATGGGCTAGGGCACAGTGCTCTACAGTTTGCAAAGATAAGACTGTACCCAGGACCAGAATAAAAAAAAAGAGGGGTCTTTGGTGTGAAATGCAGAGGCTTCATTCGCCAGAACGGGCCAGGGACCAAAAGGCCCTGAGCACTGTAATGGCATGGGATTAAATATAACTCAGAACAGCGGGGCGGATACACACACCCAACCAATGGGGAATCCATGAGGGTGGAGTAAAGGGAGGGGAGTACTTTTCCAGGGCCAATGGATACGAGGGGAGGAGAGGGCAGCTCACACAGGCCAATGGGATCTCGAGGATAAGGGGATTGACAGGGAAGGGTCCAGAACAAAGGGAAGGGTTTACAATGATAGACAGGGAAGGGTCTGGAATCAGGGGTAGGGCACACAATGTGGGCAGCCAGGAGTTTAGGATGATTGATAAAAGGGGGAGATTGACACTGAATTTTCTGGAAAATAGGGATGAGTGGCATTTTGGAAAAGGAGGAGATAACCTGGGTTATAACCATTCCCCTTCAGGGTTGGGGAGAATAACTGGGACAAGCCATCTATAAACAGTATATTAACAAAATACACCACTACATAGAATGAGTGAAATTTTTGATTTAATAGGTACAGTAAGATCACCTAGTTTGTTAGTAACTATTTTTCTTACAGTGTATAAGAATGCTCTCTAGAGAGAGAGCAAGTGAATGTCATTATCAGTTATCTGTTTTAACTTGATACGTATAATTAAATGCAATTTCTTGTTTTTATTCAATCATTCCTTGGCTAGTAACCTCCAGCAGGTTGTTCTGCCCTTACAAGAAATACATTCAAGTCATAATTGTCCATATGGATATATTAGGTCAAGGAAGTTTATCTAAATACACAGCATACTTACTCTGAACAGATACCTCTGAAATATCTCTAAATGACAGTTTTGGAAAATGGAAGTCTATCTCCATTTTTCTAAGGAAGTAGAATAATATACATACAAATTGGTGATTTACCAAATTCAATCTGAAGTTATCAACACTGGTTACAAACCACAGGGCCAAAGTGGGGATTTAGTATAGAGCATGGAAGGGCAACCATCTGTGTGAGGCTTCTTCTCCCTTTAATACTGCTTTCAGTATTTCTGTTTTCCTTTTATTATTTTTTTAATACAAATTGCCAAATTAAATGGAAATTAGAAGTTAGTACAAGATGTATTTTAAACCTTCATTAAAATGCAGTATAAAAGATATGTTTGTCATGTAAAATTAATCTTCATTAATCAGTGGTGAGTGCTACATGACTGTTTTCATCCAATAGAAAGGGAGGATTTTATAAACAGGGAATACTATAAAGTATATATAAAGTGCACATATATATAAAGTATATATAAATATACTTTATATAATACTATAAAGTATATATAAAGTACTCTGCCCAATCCATTTTTCTTTTTCATTTCTGTATAAATAAGCTTTTTGACTTTAACATTAAATGTATCATTCTTTCTTTATTAGCTAAGCTGTGTTATCTGCTTCATTGTAAAATTCCCTCATGAGTGGAAAAAAGCTGCAATGGTTCTGCTTTAACATAAAAGCAGATGGTGGTGTGTTACTGGAAAGTTCATAGCAATAGGTTTGGAATATCAGTGTCTTGCATGTGTGAAGATAGTACATCCTTGACTGTTAATTATGAGATTAACATTTTTAAAGTCTCCAAAATTTTTAGTATTCCGTAAAAGTTTTATAAATTGTTCAATAAAAAGAGTATTTAAATGTCATGTGTTAAACCCAGGAAATCTGTTTAATTTGATATGTTGCCTGTGTATATTCTGTACATTACTTAAAGGTCAACTCCTTTGACAAAGCTGCAAAAATAGCAGTAAAATGGAAGGCTGTTGCAGGCATTTCGGTTGGAACAGTCACACTAAAGACTTTGCTACATTTGTTCCCCAGGATACCCTTGTTGAATTCCTGATTTGTTGAGAAATACTTGATAATATCACCCTGAACATTAGAAGTTACTTTTATAGATGCTTTTCTAGATGTTGCTCCTAACTTAACATTTCTAACGTGTGTCATTGACTACCATAATTCATCTCAG